TCGGAACCCGGAGGAGGACAAAGGTACGGTATTTTACCGTACTTTTGTCCTCCTGGCTCCGTTCTATAATTCTGGCACTGACTGTAATGCTATGTATGTATATGTGTATATATATATATACACGGAGTATACATATCCCCAGTATATCTTCATTACCCTAGGGAAATCATTTCACCCTCCACATCCACTAGCCATACCCATCCGTTTCAGCCACACGTTGTGCCACCCCCACGGCTTTGGTCGCCAAGTTCTCCAACATCCTCGAAGGCTCGAAGTCATGCCACGATAAAAATGGCATATATATATATTTTATAATGGGGCTTAACCATCCAGAATGGTGTTTTTTGGATTATCATGATAAGGTTTATCGGATCTGGTGTTTGTCCATAATTACCACTAATGGCGTTTATTGGATTTTGAATGGGACTATCAGATTATCATAAGGTCTGTTTCATTTTCGCATCGCAAATTCAAGTAGCTACCTGCCTAGATTGGGATTGAAATTATGCGTTGCATGTCTCATCTTTAACCTGTCGCAAGCACGCACGATGCAAGTTCATTCGCAACTGCTAAAGAGCACATTGATTTGCATCCCAGTTAGTACCTGGCTGTACCTGATGGCAACTGTCTAGTACATGGCCAGCTTTCCGTGAAGTCCAGGAGAGCAATTAGTTTAAAAACCACTATACAGTCATTCCTTCAAGATAAACTCTTTTGATGGTTTCATCGCATCCCGATAAACCTAATGATGATCATGATATCAACGTCAGTCAACCGGGCTCTACCTTTTCCCCCGTAGCAATGGAGGAGCAATATTTCAAAAAATGACCTATCCACAGGTTCTCCATCCGTCAAAACCCTGCTTTGCTTCGTTACATCCGGAGCTTGGCCCTGGTTGGTGGCTGAAACCCTCCAGGAAAATATTGGTCTCATTCGTCACTAGTTATTTGAACTGGTACCAACCAAGTCGTGGATGACCTGGGGATCCCCCATTTGAACCCCCAAGTCGTGGATGACCTGGGGATCCCCCATTTTAGGAACCCCCAAATAGACCTGGGAGAACAGCCTCCCTGGGCCCCTCCCAGCCATGGGCCAAAGGACTCTAGGAATCGATCTTCATCCAACAAGGGTCCAGCGTGTTCACCAGGGCCCACGCAGCCCTGGCACCCCAGTGAAGTGGGCGCAAGCAAATGGGGTTTGGTTTATCATCATATTTTAGTAGGATATCTTACTAGATTCTATCTTGTTGATTGTAAATCATCATGTTCTCTGAAGATAATGACGTTACATCGTAAGTTTAGAGCCCCAGCTATTTGCAGCAATCCACCCAATCATCACATCTCCTCCCGGGAATCCCAGATTCGCACCTCCCCCTTGGGTCCCACCACATAGAGCATCGCAACATTCCTACTGCTCCTGCTGGAAAAAGAAACCGCAGCTCGGAAGGTGTTCTATCAGGATTCTACCAACAAAAAACGTGGGGTTTTACCAACCAGTCTTGTCCCATCAAAAACAGGTGACAAGGGATTGTTTGCCTGTATTGGGGAAACAGTTTCCATAGTCTATCCTGTCTTGAGAAAGTGGACATCTATGAAGGTTCTGAAATGCCGTCACCTTTGATGCTACTAGTGATTGAAACTGTTCAGGAGCACTTCAGCTTTCAGATTAGGCACCGGTACTGCCCCTTCACTGCGCTTCGGCAATAGCCCAGTCCAAACCCAAGCTATTCGGTGGGACCAGCACGCACCCAGGCTTCTCATAATGGAGCATAACCATCCCGAATGTATGAAGGACAGAATGACACCCAAACCAATGATTAAGCATTCAACCAAGTATCATTCATCAGTTCTGCCCTGACTATATCCCCATTTTTTCATGGTTACATAAAACCGCACTAAAATGACTGTAATCATCAACCAACAGTGGTATGCTCATCAGCACTGTGCTGGGCATGCTGGGCTGCCCCGCAGAGGTCGTTGCTCTTCCTCGAAAATGTCGATGAACACCGAACCTGGAGCAGCCAAGTAATGGGGATACTCCAGGTCCGGATGGCTTGGGGGTACCACTAGGACCTAGAACACCTCCAATTGGATTGCGTTAGCGACAAAGCTTAGAGGACACCCGTTTTTGTTTGGGTAAAAACATGTAAAAACTATGGTTTCCTGCGGGTTTTCCCTTAAACCCGTCTTTAACCTATCCCAAGAGACCCAAGTTTCAATCATTCCAAACAGTGGGATGAAAAATAAGACCTTATCTGAAACAATCAGTAGATACAGGGGTCTACTTATTACAAAGAGGCATTCTTGTCCATTCCTGCTCATGAAGCTACTCGGTTGGGAAATATGATTCATGGATCTGCGAGTGGCTGAATGGCATACATCCGTGGGCTTTTTTCTTTAATCATCCGTGGCGAATTCATCAAATCAGAACGAACTGGAGCGCCTACTTATTTTAGGAATCTCCTCAAATCATAAGCGGCTCACAAAAATGGAGCCATAACGAAGAGAGTGCACACTAACGGGCAAAGTCACTCGCTCCAAGCTTTGCTTGAACATCGGACTAAAGTTTAAGATTTGCAAATGGCTTGGCAGCGTCACTCCTTCCATGTTTTGATTGAACTTATCTCCGAAGGTCAGTCTTTGCAAAGTGCTTGGAAGGGTCACCTTTTCCATGTTTTGGTTGAAGTAGAATCCGAATGTCAAGCTTTCCAGGCTGCTTGGAAGCGTCACTCCTTCCAAGCTATCGTCGAACATGTCACTGAAGCTCAAGCTCTGCAAACTCTCTGGCCAAGTCACTTCGCGGATCTGCTTGGAAGAGAAACGAGCGAAAGCCAAGCTTTCAAGACCGCTTGGAAGGGTCATGTTTTCCAAACCCCTGTTGGATTGGGCAAAAGTCAAAGCCTTCAGACTATTGGGCAAAGTCTCTCCATCCAGGCTTTGGTTGAAGTAACGCCCAAACGTCAAGCTCTGGAGACCATTTGGCAAGGTCACATTCTTCAAGCTGCGGTTGAAACGATCACCTTAGATTGAGATCCCCCAAAAATACCGTAGATCTTGATACATATTTCCAATAGATGCCCCCAGTGCTGAGGGATTTCCCCTTGGTAAAAATAAAGAGCATCACCATCTCCACCATTTGGTCAGGCCACCAAAGGTCAGGATCTGCAACGTGGAAGGCAATTTCACCCCATCCAGGCGTTGGTCGAAGTCAGACCCGAGAGTCAAGCTGAGAAGGGTGCTGGGCAACAGGTTGGGTTCCAGCCCTTGGAAATGGCGGTGATCACAAAAGTTATCTGAAGATAACTGGGGAATATCAGAATATCTAAATAAAGCAGACAGGTGGGAAACATAAATTATGTGATATAGATTATGCACACGCAATTCTAACTTTAACTCTATAAAAAAAGAGTTGAAATGGGTCTGTATATATATAATATATATATGTGTGTGTGTGTATCTGTTATAATATGCAAAACGGGGTTTGTAAATCAATTTTAAAAAACATATCTCAGTAGATTCCCCAGTTCTGGTAGACTTACCCATGGAAAAATGCGAAAAAAAACAGCCCTCATCGACTCAGCAAATCCAAGAGTCGTTTGGTGAACAAGGAGAAGACCACACTCAATCTTGGCCAGTTGCTTGGGGGTCTCTCCAGGCTTCCTCTAAACTTCTGACCAAAGGTCAAGGTCTCGAGGTTGCTGGGCAGATTCACTCGCCCCAAACCTTGGGCCGGTGAAGCACCAGCTGGCGGCAAAGCGTTAAGTCTGGGATACCCCTCCAAAGTCAACATTTATAGATGTTAGAGCTGGGCATTGCATTCCCCCACTTCAAAAAAAAGCAACTTCGCTAAGTATATAGCTCCCAACTAACCGCCTTTAAATCACACATTTTGGTTATGGGGCGCCACCAGCCGTACCCTTTCACCATGCTCTCCAGGAAGCTCTGATTGAAGGCATCGTCAAAATCTAAACGCGTCAAGCTACTCGGCCACTTCACCTCAGGTCCGTGACGTCCGCGGCAGCAGAATTCCAATTTTTGACTAAGTTAAGCCAGTGGACCGTCCAGACCCTAATTTTTTTCTCGTTCAAAACTCCTGTTCTTATCTGTTCTTACGTTTTAAATTCCCATTCCAACAGGTGAAACTTCCATTTTTGCTGGTTAAACTTGCTGAACTCAATATTTTTTTAGTGGTGAAACTCCGATTTTTCCCGGTTCAGCTCCCATATTGGCACTGGAGAACGCAACCCATTTCCTCAGCCGCCCATTTCCGCCAGATCACATTCTCCACGCCGGACGTCTCCATGCCACCCATCTTCAAGCTCTGCAAAGCGCTCGGAAGGACCACGCGATCCAAGCTCTGGTCGTACTCGTCCCCGAAGGCCAACCTATGGCGAGCCATCGGTGAGAAAAATATCCAGGATGGGAAGACATGGGAGAATCATTGAACTAAACCTAGGAGAATCTAGGATTCACATCTATACTTTCTATTCATTTGTGATTTCTTCAGTATTCCCTAAAGTCCTAAAGATGTTTGAAACGTTACCAGCTCAATTGGCTCCAGTGAAGGTGAGCCACCCATCATCCCATCCCAACATATCACTGTTTTTAATGGGACAATTTGGGCTAATCGTTGAAGTACATGACTTTCTATCCAGCAAACTAGGCCATAGATAACTCTAGATAACTCTGCAGGGTTTAGTCAATTGAGGTTGTCCGAATATTGGGGATATAACCAACCACACTGGACATATAATGGTTATACAAGTACGCGCTGGGGTTTCAAATGGGATCATCATCTCATGTAGGGGTAAAGAAAAGCATATGAAACCACCAGCCAGTGACCTTAGAAGGTTGATGGGTAAGTTGACTCCTTCGAGACTGTGGTTGTAGGTCACACCAAATTCCAAGCTTTCAAGACCCGATGGCAAGCACACTCCGACCAGGCTCTTGTTGTATTGCGAACTCAAACTCAACTTTTTGAGACCGCTTGGGAATTTCACTCCTCGCAAGCTCTGGTTGAACATCCCACCAAAAGCCATGGTTTCCAAGAACGTTGGAAACTTCACCCGTTCCAGACTCTTGTTGTAGATGAAGCCGAAAGTCAAGCTTTGCAAAGTGTCTGGCAGGGTCACGTTCTCAAGACTCTGATTGAAAGCCCAACTGAATTCCAAGCTTCGAAGATTGCCTGGCAGAGTCACTTCATCCATCTTCTTGGAAAACATCCCACCGAGACTCAAGCTTCGGATGCTGCCTGGAAGGGTCACTTGCTTGAGGTTCTGATTGAAACCACAGCCAAAGCCAAATATCATATCTTCAAGACCGGCTGGCAGTTTCACTCCTTCGAGGCTTTGATTGAAGTTCTTGCCAAAGGTCATAGATTGCAGGTCCTTTGGCCAAATCACTCCTTCCAGGCTTTGGTTGAACTCCTCACCAAAAGCCAAACTTTTCAGGGCGCTTGGGAGCTTGAGCCGAGTGAAGTTTTCATTGAACTGATCGTCCAGGGTCAAAACCTCAAGGCTCTTTGGAAGATGGTGCACATACTCTGTGGTCGTGGCACCTGCAATCTGCGTCAGCCCCTCCAATGCAGCTGCTTCCTCGTGTAAGCCTTGGAGGTAAGACACTGCAGCACATAAGTTGGTTGGAACATAGGTGCAGGACACCGTTGCACCATCAGTATCGCCTTGTAGAATCCCCTGCTCTTCCAAGGTTTTTTGGTCCAAAAGTGGTGAAGCCTGGTGGCCCGTTACGGCAACTTGTGTGCCTCTCTTTGCTGGAAGTTCTTCTGCAATCATCTGCCGCAACCTTGGAGTTGCGGCAAGGACGGCTTTTTTGTGACCTATTTTCAATGGATTCATCAAACCGATTCCCCAAATCCAGCCTACTTATATATGATATCCATTGATATCCTTCAAAGAACCCTACTGTAATCTTTAGCTGGTCAGTATTTTGACAAACAATAATATAAATTATTGAGGTGCCTGGCCCATCCATCCATACATGCATTAATTCAAGGTTTTCGCAGAAAGATATGGTCATCTTTACTATCACGCACTCGGGAAACTCTGATTATAGCTCCAACTGGCTCCCCATTTAGCGGGGACTATAGAAAGAACCAGAGCTCCTATCAAAGCTCCCTTCCTCCTGAAGGAAATTCCCATTCTCCCCTGAAATCACCATATTTTTCTTGGTCACATCCCAGCCAAATCCCCACAAGCTGGTGCCCCTCCAGGTATGTTTGTTGGTTTAACCATAGCACCTAGTTGGATATATTGGCCATAAACCCAAACGTTATTGGAGTGGACAAAACATAACAAAACCAACTTAGCTAACGAACTGGGCCATGAAAAATCAGCGGGTTCCGAGTTCCAAGCAACTCCCGGCCCAACAGGATTGGACGGACGCGCACCTTGCAGCCTTCACCACTAAGGCATCGCACATCCAGATCCACTGGGGCTGACTCCTCAGCGGCCGCACCGGACATGGCCCAGCCGGCGGACGTTCAAAAACTCCTAGGAGCCACCAAGAAGGAACTGCGGCGAAAGCACAAGTACAACTGAAGTTCTGCATTTTTGACATGTTTAACATCGATTAAGGTGAAATCTCCAGGAAAATCTCCAGGATTTCAACCCCTGCAGATTTTCCGAGGGGTTGCGGTCGGTTCCACGATGAAGAACTTGGACTAAGCCCCGGCCTGTGGACCCAGCCAGTTCATGAAGATCTGCGCAGCGCCAGGGCAGTACTTACTGGTGCTAAACGCAGGGAATTTTCGGGAATGATCCACTGGCTAACTATCAATAATCATCCCAGCAACCCCCAGCAACCCATCCATTCCCTACTAAGCACCAGTAAGAGTATCTTAGTAAATCATGAAAATCCACTGAGCTCACATGTGAAACATCCTCGTGACATGGAGGGCGAAGCATCCAAAATATCAGGTGATAAACTACGTGGAGGTGGGAGCTGGGAATCAAATATGGGGTCTCAAAGAAATGAACCAATAGGAAACTGCACATGCATGCCTCAAAGATATTGGCATGTGTACATTTTTAATGTGCACACGGGTCTACCTGAAAACAGGCTATATACGCAACAAATTTTAATCATCACTTACAGCATGAACAAATGTACCTCTATGGGTATACCATCGCCCCCATTTCCAGACACATCCAAATGGTGACATCATGAAGAAACTTTCATGGGTGCCCTCCCAAAGAGCAAGATCAACTGCTAGTAAGGAGGAATGCTTAAAAGAAACGTGTTCAAAAGGCTCGAAATTGGTCCGCATCAAAGATTATATAATAGTATATATTTACTAAAAAAACGATATGCACAAATAAAGTCACCAAATCTCTCCAGTCAGCTTATTTATCTTGTGCATTCCATCTTTTGTTTCTCCCGGTTCAAGTGATTTCCATGTTGGTCTACTGGAGGCGAGAGATCGCCGATCGCCGCCTTGTTGATCGCCGTTCTGCTGCACTTCTTCCGGAAGAACCTCAGTTGAGGAAAAACGCATAGGGCATGATAGTTTTCATAAATAAATGTTAGTACTTACGAATAAGTCAAGCACACGCGTGCACTGCGTGCACTATTTTCTGCAAATACAAACAATATATTGAACACTTGATGTCATAGCTACTAGCTATTTTGCCAACTTGTGTTTGTATAGTACATACATTACATGGTTCCTGGCAGACACAGCCTGATTTGACAGACTTCAAAATTCAACACGGAGCCTGAAGGGCCACCGCTCCAAATCATGGCCAAAATCATGGCTGGTGATGGAACAGTTCCCACTTTAACATGTAAAATTTTGTCGACCTTCATATTGGAGTTGCCAACCAGGTGAGTTTGCCAAATGGCAATAGTTGTGCCATGTTGTGCCCAAATAGATGGTGTAGTAATGATATACACTGTATGAACCGATACAAGCAATGAATGCCCGTTCCTGAAGTCATGGGTAAACAATCAACAATCCCCTGCCCATGATAAAAAATGAGAAGATATGATAAACACCCCATCCAAACCCTACCATGGGTCTGCTGCTCATTTTGGGGCCTTCAAAAAAGGCGCATTCTTATCCGCTAAAAGAAATCCCACCAGGGATTCAAGATTTTCCCTGTACCATGGATCCTTTGAATTGAAATCCGGATTGTTGATGATTTCTATCCCTGTCTTCATGAACTGTTTCATCTCCCAATTTTCAAAACCCAGCTACTGTAGCAACCGCAATAACAAACATCCATAAACATCCATACCAGAAATAAATGGTATAACCTTTCCAAATTATATAGAGGTTTATAGCACTGGGTTTAACATGACATTATGGATTTATATGGGGTTTCACATGGTTCCAACATACCATTCATAGATGCCCATGAGAAACCCAAGCCATCGACCCAAAAGCTCTGTAGGACTCTACAGGATGGGGCCCCCAAGATAGCGTTCAGTTGCCTTATAAGCGGCTTAACTATGGTTTATGATATATATATATATAAACTATAGATAACTAGTTAATGGGGTTTATAAACCAAATTATAACTGGGGGGCACCATGCTGTAGTTCTAACCCGAGGCGTCCATCTCCAATCTGCTCCAACCACAGCCCAAAGACGTCGGCGGCACGCCCGAAGGAAGCGCAGAGCCGGAGCTTTGGACTGGGCGAAGTCGCGGTGAGCCGCTAAGTTTTTTCGCAAGCCCCAACAATAGAAGATATGTAAATGATATAGTATATTCATATATAATTATAATTATCATTATATATGCAGTTTAGTCACATGCTACGATAATAGTGGTACAGATTGATAAAGTACTTTAAGAAAAATATGCCTTGGGGATTGCTATAGCCTAATTTGGTATTCACTAAAGATAGTTCCTTTTAACACATCGGCCCAATGATGGAGTATATAAGGTACGACCATCCAATTAAACAGAGAATCAAAGCTACAGACTTCCAGTAGTTCGCCAGCAACAAAAAAGTTACATGACCGGTATGAAATACGCTGGCCCCTGTCCAAAGTCTAACATGAAGCATGGGCACCCCAAAATAGCATTTACAGCAGTGAAATCATTTTAAGGGTCGGATTTGGAGTGTCGCTGGAATACACATAATATAAGTTATATAAGAGACACTCTGTGTATAATGGGGCATAGTATGACGATCCGCATGGGCATAAACAAGAGCTGCAAAGAAACATGTCTTGGTCGGTTCGGAACCATGTTTAGGGTGAACCCAAACAAACTAACCAGTTGCCTTTTGAAGGAACCAATTGGTAGATAGTATGCCCCTGGGATATGATATTTTTGGGGTAACGCCAAAAAACTGACTGAAGCACCTCTCAATGGAAACATGGTGCACCATCATCCCGTCGCCAGCCCACGACTTCTTTTCTGATCGAACCATGCACTGCAGCGCTGCAGTGGTGGTAGCTGGAAGGGTTTTCAATGGTCCTTCCGTTGCCAGCAGTTGGCGATGATTTTTACGTTGGCTTTCAACGAGGAGTGATGAAATTGAAACTTGGACCCTGCATAGTTACATACCCTCTAGATCCCTCTAGTAAACTAACATAGGTATGGAAAAATCACAATGTTTTATAGGTAAATCATGATAAATCATCTATGAATGGATCATTTTCCATAGGTATGCTAAATTACCAGAGGGATAGAGGGTACCAAAAATCCCAAACCGCTCAAATTTCTGCAGCTGTTTCTTGAGATCCAACATTCAAACACCCAAACTCGAATCTATAATAGTAGAACATCAAGGTATCTGGATGTATCATGATGTACCCACTTTACACGCTGGTCTGTCGATGAACCGTACAAGATCCTACAAGTCACTTAATACAGCCTCCAGCCTAAATAGACTACAGGATATCCGCTACTGGCCAACACGCATGTCGAGCTTGTTTTTTTTGCTCGGGTCCTAAGTTTTCAATCCATGATGTGTGGGCGTGCTTGGTCATCATTCTTCATTTCATTCCCATCTTTGTTGCTTTCCTACCCATTCAATACGGTATACTTGAAAATCTTACACTGGTTGGTCCCCACCTCCCCTGTTAAAAAGTTAACTTCTAGTGATCTAAGGGAATGGAACTGTCATATATAGTTAATTCCAGTATGTGTTTCTTTTCTCTTGGACATATTGGCCAATATTGGTCATATACCCTCCGGTTATAAAATCTGGCTATGGAAAATGACACATTTTGAAAGATTATATATATATATGTATATATATATATGTATATATATATATGTTGCTTTACCTTTTTTTGGTGATTTTCCAAAAGTAAAAATCTGACCAACCAAGGCATGTCAGCATTCACAACTCAATGTGCTCAGCCCACTCGTTGAGGTGGTATTGCGCCAAGCCTCAGCTGCAAACAATGGGGGCATCATGGCTATATAATGAGGATATAATGGGATGATGATGGGAAAGTAATCTGGAATAATATCTGGATATTTTTTTGTTGTTGGTTACTGGTAATTTAATCTAGCTTTGCAAAAGCACATTGTTTTAAATAGGAATCCTCTACTGTATATGATGGGGATGGACCAACCATCAGGGGGAGAGAGAGAGAGAGAGAGATATATATATATATAATGAGGATTTATATAATGGGATATACCCCCTGGTAATCAAACATGGCAATGGAAAATCACCTAATATCACCTATAAAGGGAAGTCCAATGGGTTGGCCCATCACCATTATATTCCATTGCATCCCTATTTAAAACGGTATTTAGTTCTTGTTTGTTAAATCATCAGCAAGCCGATATTCAGAGTAGTTGGTGATTTATTTAAGTCATAAGTAGTTGTTAAGTTACATGTATAATCATTGTATATATACACACACATATATACACTATAGACCTATTTATATTTCCAACAAAAAATATACCATCATATTTTCCATATCTTAATAGCTATTTGGGGCTATATATATATATCCCGTCAATCCTTTTATATCCGAACAAGTGTTAATCACAATTTTCCATTGGTAAATCAACCATACATTTTCCGCTACGTGAAATGACCAATGGATATTTCCCATTTAGATCCCATTAGATCCGATTCGCACTGCACGAAATCATTCTAAAATTCTATTTTACATTCATGGTGTTTTCAACCCCAATGACCCAATGGAGGGTCCCTATTTTTTGCTCCAAAGAGTCTGTCTTCCAGGTCTTCCCTGGCATTTTCCAGTTCTTCGGCAGTCGCCTCCATGTCTCCATCCTGGAAGCTGCGGAAGTTTTGGCCACGGCTCATGGGGCATGATATAATTAGCACCCCCCAAAAAACATAGAACGTAGCAAAATCATACTTGAAAAAATGTAAAAACATATCAATACTTCTTGATCGTTTTTGGATGGTGCTATGATTCAATGATCTGTCTCTCTCTCTCTCTCTCCATTGCCATCTCCACGAGTTCAGCATGAGCTGAGGGCGAGACAAACTATAGTGTACAGGGTGCTATGATCAACGAATGCTAATTTTCCGTGATCATTGGATCAGTGATTAATATCAACAACTTGATGAGATTAATGGGTTGAATAACCATGAATCATGTAATGTAAATCTATTGAATCTAACGGGAAAATGATGGATAATCAATATATGATATTATTACTGAGTGGAGTCCTTCATTATCTTCATTTTTTAACTTCAAGCGTCCGACTTCGATCCATGCAATCCCACCATTTGGTGGCTCCTGTTTATTCACACGCCCGTTGAATCCCAGTTATCTACAAAAAGCGTTCAAACAAGTGTGAGTGATTGTTTTACTCCATTTTCTGTCAAGTTATCACTTCACACAATTTCACAATCCTAATTTCAGGGTACCTGCGCAGTTTAGTCATGAGTTTATCTGAAACTGATGGGAAAACCCGAGTCCATCCGCTGGCTTATCATCACTTTCCCGTTTTTTTTACTGCCATAATTGGGGGGACTATGCCCGATGTTCGAACACACCCAAAAATCCAACATTTCTGTTTATATACAAATATATAGTAACTCACCCCAAAAATATAACAGTAACTTCCCACTATTTAAGAGTCATCAAATTGATGTTCCGTATTTTTCCATCTATCTTTTTGCTTGCACATATCCCATTATCCCATGCATATCCCATGATCTTCCTACAGCCATTGGGATGGCTTGTCCTTGTCCGCCACCTCAATGAGTCGCAGCATTTCAGACTCGGTGTGGAACAAGCCTCGGACGACGTGAGGAGATCATGGGGATATCATGGGGAGAATGATGGCATAAGGGGGATATCAGGAGGATAAAGGGAGATAATGATGGGAAACTCATACGGGATAACACCTGGATATAGTTTTTTTGGTTACCATCTGGTAATTTTAAGCGATCGACAGTGGTGTCTTTAATAGGGATATGATGGGGATTTAATGGGATATGCCCTCTGGTATCATCAAACATGGCTGGGAAATACCCTATATCAATAAATGGAGGTTTTCATTGGAAAACCATGTGCAAATAGGAGACCTTCCATTTTTGTCAGTCTATTGCCATGTTAGATTACCAGAGGGTGCCTGCAAAGCTTGGGTTGAAACAGCAACAAAAAACGTGATTTGACCAACGAAACACCTGGATTTTACCAGCAAAGAGATAGATTTTCACGGGAAGGATGATCTTGACAATTAAATTTGCGAAGAAACCTTGGGGGGCCTTATATAGTTGACCATGAACTGTCCAAAGAAGTGCCTTCCGGTGAGGCGCCTGGAAAGGCGGTGGCTTGGTCACGATCGGTGTGGGTTTCTTGAACCAAAAATGGATGGTTTGTCATTGAAAAAGGGCTCAACAACTGGTGTCCCCTAAGTCTTGTACCCGATCATACCAGTATCTATTTGCTGATTCAATCCGTAGTTGAGTTTCTAGAAACCCAAACTGTGATGCAGCTGGTTTCCCGTTCAAGGTCCCCTGGCCAAATCCTATGGATTAACAACTCTTTTTTCTGTGTGACATGCCTGTTTTGTCGCATCGTTGTTGAGAGTTTCACCGCATCCCAATCATCATCTGATTAATCAGGTTCATCATTCCCTGTAGGGGAGAAAAAAATCGACTTGAAACCAACCAGGCACATTGCCAGTGTTGTTGATTTAAGGTATACGGTATACCGTATATCTCCAAATATCCCCAATATTTTTTGATTTTACATGATGTTTCTACCTGGTTTTGGGGGATATTTGGCTATGAGTCAAAACCAGACCCATTTTGAACTCACAAATCAAAACGAGGCTGAAAAGTCGTAGAAAACCCTCCAATTTTCATTTTCTCCATTATTTCCTCCAATGTTTTGCCATATCATGGCCATAAATTTGGGATATCGGGACCAAACAACCCCACCCTGGCACACCAACATTAATCAGTCACGAGATGCCCGACTCCCAGGCTCTCACCTCCTAGCGGGAACAAAACCGGATGGAAATGGTGAAGACATTCTTCCCGTAAAGGGTAATTGATTACTGGTTACAAATGTTACAGGAAAACATGGCCAATTGCTACTCAGCATGTCTTATCATTTCTCACATCTCAAAAAACCAGTGATTGAACCCGAGCCCAATGATCTAATGGACATATGGAATGGAAAAGCAATAAACTAGGTGTATAAGTCACTGGCATGAAAAAGCATGAAAAGAACCAGCCTCCCTGCGAAGGGTACTCAGGACCCTACTGGTTGCCCATGTCTCCAAATGCCACTAGCAGGAACCTCCGGACCTAGTCCCATCTCCATCATCGGCAAATGGCCTGAATTAAAATCCGACACATGATTGGATTATCAATAGTTGGGGATATAATTATAATGCAGGGATATAATCACTTATAATCCAATGGCCTTAATTACAATTTTGGGGATATAAACGAGCTGATGTCAACCCTGGATCAATCAAGGGAGTTACCACCCAAAGATCACACGATTATTGTCATCAGCCAGCTAGAATGGCGCCGCCCCAATTAAACAGCTCAGGGGTCAGCATTCACTCTGAGGCTGACATAGTATATAGTTACATAGCCAATCTTAGATATCCTCCAAAAAATCAAACTTTCAGCTGCTTAGTAAATCGTCTCATCAAAGTTTGGACCCATATCACATATCAAACAAAGCGAAAATGTGGACGTTATCAAACAAATACATGTATGATATCATGGCAAACATATCAAGCATAATTCCGTAACCCTCACCAAATCTCACCAAGACAGTTCAGGCAGGTTAGTTCGGTCCCAGGTTGCTCTCCAAATAAAAGCGAAAGCGTCCACTCCTGAGCGTCTAGAAGGTGATTGCCATCCTTGTCGAGTTTCTGGAAATCCTCCATCGCTTCCTGACAGTGAAACCTGAAAAACCTGGGATGATGGTGGGTGGGTGATTTCCAGCACTTTTTCCGGGGCATCTGGGGGTAGCTTTAGCCAAAATAAACGCAAGGGGGTAAAACACGATGAAATTGTTTGAAAGCAACGGACCTAAATTGACTGCCACGGTGCATGAAAACAAAACCCGAGGCCACTAACCAAGGTATTGAACACCAAAGCAACACGTACGTCATTCCAGACTCATGACCAACGACTACATGACCACTTGGCTATTGCTTGGGGGCCGGGGTGCACCCCAGTTAGCAAATAACAAACAATTTTTTTATTTGACAGGAGTATATCACTATATCCCACTAATCTAAATGGGTTATTTCATATGGTCAATATCCACGTACTGATTGCTATGCGCATCCCAGTACTGCGGGATGCGGCACTTTCGATCTGACTAGTCGCCATGAAAACTAAAAAAATGACTAAGCCCAATGTCATCCAACTTCTTCAAATTTTGGTGGTTTCTATACATATATGTACATATATACCATAGTTAAGTTCAATTTTCTGGGTAATACTGGGGATGGTTTAATTATTATTTAAGTTACAATAGCCCGTTTATTTCCCATAAAAGGATACCACATTCATTTTTTTTGCGGGCAAAATCCCCATAAACATTGGGTTTACCACAGTTCATATATAAATTGGATTAAATTGGAAGATCTCGGGCCGTCCATATATAATTATATCTGGTTGGTGGTTTCAACCCCTCTGAAAAATATTAGTCAGTTGGGATGATTATTCCCAATATATGGCAAAATAAAAAAAAGTTCCAAACCACCAGTCATATATATATATACACATCTATCAACCGACCTTCGGAACTTCGGCCGGGTGTCTTCGGAGAGGCCTTCCTGGGCCGAAAACTCCCACATCCTGAGCATCAGGTGCAGGTCCGCAATGGATTGGTTTTCTTGGGAAAATCTGAGGGAATTGGCCGTCAAATATAGGGGATTATAGGATATTAAATGGATACTAAAGGGGTTTCCTTGTAAAATTTGCATTAAAGTAATCCAGCGAGTGAGACTAAAAACATCTAAAAACAGTGAAACAAAGCCAGCAAGTGAAACTTCTTTGGTTGATTGCTCAGCTGCACAAAATCAGGAAATCACCATCACAGTCAAATATCACCAAAGCAATAGTTGACCAAAGGGGAAAAAATCCTTCCCAGCAGAACTCTCTGGGCTACATGGTTGCTAACAGGTACACTGGTACACCTGCAAATGCAACAGGCCCACCAAAAAACTAGTGATAGCAACCCAAAAAATGCAGAAAAGTGGGTCACCTGGAATCATGAAGTACCGATATGCAAATACAATCTGAGACATCCTGGGAGCACGTTTCTATCTTTTTAGGAGTTGCTATGCAGATGGCTAATCTGAGATATTCTGCGCAAAACCAGGTATGTTTTTTTTCTTAAAAAGTATATAAATATAATCAAAATTGTCAGCTGGGACAGGATTCTATTCCCACATGTATGGCTAACATTGACCCATGCCAGCACCAATTTATCATTTAGTGCACTTGGCCCAGCAGGGTTTCAAATTACCCAAAAAGTTTCCAACTTCTCCCCTGAGCTTGGAACTCTTGTGGGCTAAGGTAACCATCTGCATCCTTGTCTTTGGTCTTCATGATGTCATTGACCACCACATCCTGATCAGAGGCTACCACCCCACATCCTGATGATTTGGATCGAAGATCTCCCGAAAGCAATATCCCACGGCTTAGGAAGAGCAAACAAAACATGCCTTGTAAGACTTATTGTAAGACATGCAATCTGCCATGCGCTGTTGGACAGTGTCTGGGTTTGGTATATGTCCATTGGATCCACAGTGATGTGAATTCCCATTCCAATCAGTTTCGGGATCTTTCGTGGGAGTGGTATGGGAAGCTTATCGGAAGGGGCTTCCCATTATGAGGGGTCATGAAAAGTGCTGCCTGAATTGGCGGTACCCAAGAATCCCAAGAATGCACATGATGATTGCTGGATGATGAAAAGTGGTGGCTTACAGCCCCCAACTTTGACAGCCAAGCGAGTCTGTTTTCACCCCAAAACATGTGCCCCTCAATCGGAGAGAAGCAATTGCAGGGGCATGCAACATGAAAAGTAATTGGTTCAAGTTGAAATCACTTTACAACTATCCAGTAACCTCAATGTTACCTTTTATTCTTTTCGTTTGCTTGGCGCACTCTCCATAGTAGTTTTAATCTACCTTCAATCCTCATTGAGGGGCCAGCAATCAAGCCTAAAACAAGATGGCCCAGCATCTAAGACTTCCGGATGCGTCTCTGGCAAGAAGAGGAAAACTGACGCACTGAGATTGAGGGTTTCGAGGTAGTGGTGCAAACATGGAATGGCTCGGTTTGAACATTTCAAAACAAAACCATGGCCTTTGCACGTAGTTACTGTCACCAATTTTGCGTACGGTTCTTGTTTTTGTTTCCGAGACGGTCAATGGAGCTGAGATTTGATGCGAGAATGATTACTCGGCAACATGTGCCACTGTGCCTACCCCTTAATTCAACTGCAGCCTCAAGAAATGCTCCAACACCCAACAGCTTTGATTCGTTGGTTGCTCCTTTTGACCCTATATGCAGGCAGATTACTGGCTCATCACATGGAGGACACAACCACATATAACCATTGAACACATTTCGCACCAAGCCATATTGGCATGATCAGCAGCTTGGCGCCGACCATTCCATGACTTCCGCGGATCACCTGCTTCTTCGGGACTGAGGAAATGGTCTTTGTCCACGTCAGCTGCTGTGAACTTCTCTTTTTCAAAGGCGACTCCTGACGTGGCTTTTCCATGACTTCGCTGCATAGAAGGACTTAACCGACTTAACCGGCTTAACTTCTGAATTTGATGGGTTTGGAGCCACAATTTCGGGGAAGACCTGGGGAACCATGGCTACGTGGGATAGATTTGCTGACATGTCGTCCGAAAATTGGCGCCGTTTTACGATGCCTTGGACACCATACCTTGCAGGGAACAACAAACGTGAAAACAACATTTCAGACAAACCAACTTTCCTCTATTACATATTTTGGCCTTGTAAGACAAAGGGGGGGACTTGCAAAAACCTTCCACAATGAACGGCCATCCCATCAATCAGTGCCTAGCTTTAAATCTAGAATCTACCTGAATCTTTCTCAACCAATACACGTCAACCCCCAAACGATGAGAACTTCCTGTGTTTGCTAGTTCGCCTTGGTCAATCTTGACTGCTTTGTGGTTCAAACCCATCCCAAAACAAATATAAAAATATGAGTCGATTTAGGTTGTCCTCTCATCCTCCCACGTACCATGGAGAATTAGGCACTGCCAGCTGTTGTAGGTGGAATCCCCATGGCTGGCCGACCGTGGCATTTGCTGCAGCATGTTCCGAAAAAATCAATGGATCTATGTTGGTTGTATATCCAACGATCTCACGGTATCCCATGATATCCCCATTACATACCCTTATATCCTCACATGAAACTAATGACTATGACCAATGAATCCAATGATCACTACTTCTAGCCACATCATCCCTGAGAAAAGCGTCTGGTCTCGAACTCTTTCAGCATCTCCTCGTCCTCAGGACGATTCCGGGTTGGTGCGGCTGGTTGGAAGATTTGCCATTTTTGGGTGACTTACCCCTTGAGATAAGATATTTCCATGGTATTTCGTACCAAACGCATCCTAAATCTTTGAATACATGAGGGCAGGTAGTTTGAGGGATACCCTTCATAATTGGAAATGATGGGACTGGAAGCCAGTTGATTGTCACTCAGCATCAGTTCGCATATCCCAGGAACATGCTAGTGTGAGTACTGGATTCTTCCAATCCTCTGGGGGCAACAACATCGTAGGAACATATAGGAAACTTGGAATGCATCTACCAGGGTGAAATGGAAGGGGCCAATTCCAAACAACCTGTACGATACCTGGTGCAAGTCCATTTTTTTTCGCACGTCTATATCCAATTATCTCCATAATTCCAGGACCACAAGTATACCAACTTCCGTTTTGTTGTCATACCCTCTGGTAAACTAACAGTTTGCTATTGAAAATGGCCCAGTCGAACTAATGGATTTACCCGTTAATAGCATGGTGATTTTCCATAGTTTTTTGTTAACGCTTACCAGAGCGTAATTCTACCCATGGGTCAACCTGCACTGGCAGCCCATCGAGGTGCGGCATCTTCCGGGGGGTCGTGAAAGCGATGCAGATCCTGCAGGTGTTCCTGCCACGACAACTTGCCATCCTGGTCTTTGTCCAACTCGTTGAGGATGCCCTGCACCTGGAAGGGCCAATGGGATCTTGGCATGGACTTCTGGAGAGCTTAGAACTAATAAGAATGGTGATGATGATGATGATGATGGTAATAATATAATAATAACAATCATCATCATCATCATCATCATAGTAGTGAGAGTAACAACTCACGTACCTGAACAGTTCGACCATCTTGAGATAGTTGGCCTCTTACACCCCTACTAACCATTATTCCAGTGATACTTATCCAAATGAATAATATTTGATGATTTGAGTTTGTGTGAAGTGGTACCCACGGGGTACTGGTGAGCTGCTCACTTCTTTTTCCATCTGGAGCATGTTGTGGGCAGCTGGTCTTCTACCATTTAGTCACGGGAAGGGTAGGGCTTCTAGCACTGACACTGCAAGGCACCATTCACCTTAGATTAGCTAGTTGGTGAGTGACGGGTTGCGCACATGAAACTCCAAAACCAAGGAACCCCTAACATCTTAATATCATTTGACATCCAAGGGATGTTAACACCTTCATGATCTTCGAGCCATGGGTCCCATGATATAGAGCTTGACCATGCTTGACCCTCAAAGTGAACCAAAAACGGGATACCAATGATAAATCATCGCCAATTTGGGGTTTGGTTTATGAAATTGGGTATGCCCCTTCTTGGAATGATTTCTGCTATGCCCCCCTTCTGCCCTGAGGGATTGTTTATAACATTATCAGGAATTAGACATTGAATCCATGAACGTGGAAGACATGTTCGAAACAAAAAAAACTGAGGTAGACTACCTGCACTCATATTCCAAATCTAGGATACACATCTTTGGTTCCTATTCATTTTCAGTGCTAAAGGAATAGAATTTCTCTGATGGATCCAGCCATCCTCCAGGGCCTCCTTGCTGGTGATCACCTGATTCATATGTCGCGCAAAGTCCACCACCTCTGCCACCGAGACCTCACAGCTCGAAGGCTCGAAGGCATGGGATTTTGCTTGGCATTGACTGTAGCAAAATATGTATAGAAAAGAAATCGACCTTGAACTAGAAACTGGATGGAAACAAGATGAAACAAGTATAATATGCTCTTGAGTGTCTCATTGGAAGCAGTTGCTTGTCGATCTTGCAGTTTACTGCATCCTTGTTCCTCTTTTCGGAAGCGCAACTCCCAGTGTCCAAATTCGGAAACATTCAAACAGGGACTGGAATCTGGGTCAGCTTGGGTTCATCGAAAATACATCTTTGCATCCTTGCCCTTCCCCATCAGCTTCCAACCTTTCTATCCCTTGGTGCACATCAGAGTTCGCATGGCTGTGGGTCAAAACCCTGGTACCCTGTAGTTCGCATCAAAAATAGTTGGCATTCCCGCAATTTTGCTACGGTTTGCTACAGTATAGATGTCTGTATGGTAGGTTTTGACCCATCCACACATCAGTTCCTGCCTTCCCATCCTTATTCTTATCCACGGCTTGGTGTATTCTCCGCAATTTCTCCGCGCTCATCAGCTGCTGCGGCACGTCCACCACGTCGGCGGCATCATCACCGGCGGCGATGGCGAGGCACAGCAGGATGCCGTGCCACATGGCGGGTGCCAGGGCAGCCTAAGCACCTGAAGTGCCTGAGCCCAATAGCATGCGATTGAATCCCATGAGTGTTTACAAAAAAAAGGGGATACCCCAAACATCACCAAAGCCAAGGCCTCTTGCAAAACTTGAGAAGAGTATCAGGACTTAAATGGACATACACCTCCAAAACCATAGCTTTCCCATGTTCCCATGGCGTCCCTGCTCAAAAACTTGCAACCATCATCCATGAATCCCTGACTATCTGGGACCTTTCTACATCTTCACTGGCTTGATCTGATGGAGCATGTGCAGCAAAGCAGGGTCACATACCAACCAGAACTTCCTGTTTCCCTCCACATCCCCATCTTGGTGGGTCAGAATATGTCAGAATCACAGCTTTCCTCTGACTGGATAATCTGATGCTCCTTAATGTGGTAAACATAATAGTAACCACCATCCCCAAATTGGATCAAATTCGTGGTTTATGGCATTGCCAGGGTGGATCCCACATCATTTGGATCCATCGAAATTGATATCAGTTATAGGGTGCTAAGAAAAACACCAACTTATCTTTCTCGTCTCTCCATCCACCTCAACAGCTGTTACCATCCTGTAAAGTTGTGGAAAATCCACCATGAATGTAGATCATTTTCGGGAAACCGAAGAGGTTTCCACATCTTTTTGATGTTTACCCTGGGGATTCTTAGGGTAAAATGTCCCAAACCACCTATCCAATTGATGCCCTGGGCGTGCAGGCAGCAAAGCCGCGGCATTCGGCAGGTCTTTGGCCTCGAGTGAAGAAGGGCCACCTATTCTTACAATCAATGGATTGGTTAAGGGAAAATCTACAGGAAACCATACGTTTCCCCATTCAATCTGGGGTTTTCCTGCACATTTTCCCTTAAACCAACCCATAGGTCGCCCAATTCATAATATGAGAATATGACTGGGATATATATATATATATCTCTATCTATATCTCTATATCTCTATATCTCTATATCTCTATATCTCTATACAAGGTGGTGCCCCATAGTTAGCTAAGTTGGTTTATAAGTCCCATAACTATGGTTTATGGCAGATATAACTATAGTTAATGGGGTTTATAAACCCACTTATAACTGGGGAGCACCATCCTGTATCTCTATCTATCTATCCAGCTCTCTAGCTCTCTAGCTATCTAGCTATCTAGCTATCTAGCTATCTAGCTATCTATCTATCTATCTATCTATCTATCTATCGAGCTATCGAGCTATCTATATATCTAGCTATTTAGCTATCTAGCTATCTAGCTATCTAGCTATCTAGCTAATCTATCTAATCTATCTAATCTATCTAATCTATCTATCTACCTATCTACCTATCTACCTATCTACCTATCTACCTATCTACCTATCTACCTACCTACCTACCTATCTACCTACCTACCTACCTACCTACCAGCTATCTATCTATCTATCTATCTATCTATCTATCTATCTATCTATAATGGGGATATACCGACCATCATAGGAATTTTTCATGGGGATTTGATGGGATATACCCGTTGGTGTCATCAAACGTGGCTCGCTGGAAAATCTCACATAAATGGAGGTTTGTAATAGCTGGGAAGATAATCTATAATTTGGGGATTGTCAGCTAGCCACGTTTGATTACCGGAGGTCTGAGTTGAACGGCCAAGACTCCCACCATGTTGAGGATTAACTTGTTACTCTCCGGTAATTTAACAGTTTGCCATGGAACATTTATGACACTTTGTACAGTAGATGATGGTGCCATTTTCCGTGGCTGTTTTAAATGACCCAGAGAGTAGAAAGTTAATCTTTTTTGCAAATCTGAAAAGAAGCCCATCATTCATACGGATTTGTGCCTGGAAAACCAGGGTTTCGCATTGGCTTTCTTCATTTTTTGGGGGCAAAAAGGGGATGTTCCAGGTTCCGGGTTCCCTGACCACTCCGTTGGGGGCTTACCTCTTAATCACATCCAGATCCAGGGCGAATAACTCGGAAGGTACACTGGTTGCTTAGCTGCAATATGAATTACATTCAATGACTAGCCGATGAACATAACCCACTTGGGCTTCAAACATGAGAGTTTGTATTGAAATAGGTTGCCCCAAATGCCAGTGGATTATAATATGATAATTCATGATTGTCACCATTAAAATTGCCATGGCTCCATGTTCACACTGGGCTCCGACCCCTGAGCTCCCAGGCAGATACCAACTTTCTTCCTGCCTTCGCGGAATGTTGAGACACACCGCCAGGATTTATTCATAGCAACACCTAAAGATAGAACAGTGAAATGCCACTAAAGTGGCGATACGCTTGCTGTTCCATCTTTCCTTGATTCCTCTAACCTGAACATAGTGAATTTCGGTTGATGAAAGCATCGTTGAGCCCCAAGGAGCTGCACTATTAAGCGACCGGTGGCTTTCGCCACCCGCTAGTGACTCGTGGAAGCCATGCCGAAATGACCTGCCAAAGCCTTTCATGTTCTCAGTTCAAGAATCTAAACGCAGACTAAACAAGGAAGTACTAAGCACATCAATTCATGATATGAATGAAATCCCATTAAATCACCATGAAATCCAATTAAATCATATTAAATCACCGTTGAATCATTGAATCACCAGTGAATCACCATCAGAACACATCCAGTTCGGGAGCACAGCCGGCCCGCCTTCCGACTTGCTTGTAGGAGCTCCAAATGCATCTGTTTGTACTCCTGCCGCGGAGATGTAAAGGGTGGTGCCCCCAGTCGATAGCGTTCAGGTGGTGCCTACATAACTCCAATTTCACTATGGTTTATAGGTGATATATCATGATATATCTATAGTTAATGGGCTTATAACCAATTTATAACTGGAGGGGCACCACCGTGTATGCATGAACTATCATACATTTCAATGAAATGTATTGGTTGGCCATATTTTACTCCATCCAAGACATATGGAAAAATATGGAAACCATGGAGGGGCTCATTTCAAATTTTGGTTGAACGATGGTGAAAATAACAAATAGAGTTAGACAGAAACCGCCGACCAGAAATGTCTCTATCCAGGGATGGGAAGACTGAGTCCATTCAGGACATCCGAGGTCATTCTGGCCCTGGGACTATGCGGAAAAGGACATCCACCGAGTTACTGTACCCAAAAAACGATGTGGAAATTCCCTAAAATTGCAAGCTTTTGTTGTTCTTTTAGACATTTCAAAGCCCCAAACTAAGTTCAGTGATTCAAATTCGGCCAAGCCGGGATCATGGTCTATCCCAAACCTTGCGCCGCTTCGCCTCGCAGACCTTATCAAACTGCAACCCTTGGTGCTTCTTGAACCTCAGAGCTGCTTGGGAAAAGTTTCCGGCTCACCTGATCAAAGATGGTCTAACTCTACATGACGCTTAAAACTGCTTGTAAAGTATTTCAGAATTGTACTGTTGTCCACCTTCAAAAACTCGAACTTTCAGTCAACGCAGGAACACATTCAAAACACAGTCAATGCTCTTCAATATTCAACATTATTTTTGGATTGAATTTACCACATGCTATCCTTTGTTTGGGGGTTGCTATCCAAACTTCTTCGCTCAAGGAGCAGGTCGCCAAAGGCGCGGTTGATGGCACCACCACCGACCTGGACCACGGATGACCACGGGAGATGATGGGAGAATCATCACCAAAGACATGGGACATTTTTCTACAAGGTGGTGCCCCCAGTCGATAGCATTCAATTGGCGCCAATAACTCCAATAACTCCACTAACTACGTATGGTTTATAGGTGATATAATCAGTGATATCATATATCTATAGTCATGGGCGGATAATCAATAAGGATTCCATGAGATTTTCACCAGGGATGAAATCCTTGGATTCCCTGGAATTTCTAGGGATTTTTCAGGGATCTTAAAGGCGCTAATGGGATTTAAATGGAATTTTAATGGGTTTTTAGTGGGATCTATATAATGTGAATGGAATTTCTAGGGGGATTCCAATCTTAATGCAATTCCATGGGATTGTAACCATCAACAATAGGGATTTCATCGGATCTCTCTCTCTCTCTCTAATCGGATTTTTCGATCAATTTTTCAGGGATGTTAAAGGGATATATATATATAACATTTTATAACGTTAATGGGATTTAAATGGAATTCGGACATATGACACAACTCTTATTAATCACATGGAGGTTTTGGACCCCTAGAAAGACTGGATGTCTAAACCTCCAAGAACCGGATCTAAAGTCACCAGCCACGACGATTGGGCAAGGCGACTCTGGACATAGTGAAGAAGTGCCTCCTCAAAACTTATATGCTCTGAGTATCGAGGACTGAGTCAACGAATGGAATGCAACGAGCATTTGGTTGCTTGTTCCTTGCGTTGCCTCTCAAGCTTGCTATTCAGTTGTCTGGCAGTTCACCTGGCAAAACATACTGAAATATTCCTGGAAGGTTTCGGAGCTGCCGTGGTTTCATCGGGAGTTCATCACCAAGACATTGTCAATGGATTGACTTTGGAAAACCTTAACTGGCGGTTTTTCCATGGTTTGTACCTTTCAAAGCGACGCGGGTTTTCCGAAGTGAATTTTCCTTTCAAATTCTGGGACTAGCTGAGCCATTAAGAACATGTCAAAGTAACGATGATGTTTTGTTTCCCCTCCAATTGTTGGGAAAATGACAGCTAGATTCCATGATAGTAACCAAAAGACAGAAGCAAAACTGTAACATGTTGACAGACGTTGCGAGCATGGCATGGATGATATTTACATATATTTACCTCGTCCATGTTTCCAACTTTTCCATCTATTGGGGGGGTGCTATATGAAGATTCCTCAGCTGGTGGATTCACCAATGGGAAAATACAACATCGCCTTCAGCAAATCTTTGATTATAGCATTTCTGGGTGGAAAATGAAAAACAGATCAACTTCATTGAAGAAGCTTCTTCACTTAATCAGCCATTGATTTCGCAACCTGGTTGCCAACGGGAATATGCTAACAAAGGGGATCGGGATGGGTGCTTGAAC